CAAGAGAGTCGTATGGTGTATGGTATAGCGGAGGAAAGTGCTGAGCAATCCTGTGGGTAGCGGCGTTTATTTGTTATTTATCTCCGGACGGTCGCAAAGCCATTCCCGTAGTATAAATTGTACAAAGTAGCATACAGAAAAACAAGTTTTTCGACTTCACCATCTCAGAGAATTAACGTTACGATCTCAGCGACCCGAGAAGTTTGAAAGCGTTGAACTTAGCGACTTATAACCGATCCTAGCTTTGCCAATAGGCCTGACTCGTCCAGAGAAATATCTCCGCCATCGATTTAACTAGTTCCGGTGAGGTTCACATAGCGAAACAAAATTGAGCAACTCTTTCTAGCGTCTTCTACTCCCGTGAGCCCGAACCTACACTCGGTTCCATGGTTTGCGACTTTGCTTGCGCCGTTTCAGAGATAAATACTCCGGAGCGTCCATTAGTGTTTGTTTCAGGTGTCAAGGTTTTGTTTTATTTTTCCAGGTCTTCCTACGGACTACCCTATGTCGTCTTACTCCTCCTTTCCCCCTCGAACTATTAAAATACCCCTCAGTTGTCTCGGACAGCCTTCACCCATATCACGGGGTTTAGGTTTATTTCCTTTGGTCCTTGGTGATTGTTGTGTGTCAGTGCATATCAACGTAAATCCATGACCATGAGGCAAGCATCAGTCAGTGAGCGGCAGGCAATAATTACCTTGGAACTAAAGCTTCGCAGGGATCCATGTTTGCCTCAAGGATGCTAGGAAGTCTGGAGTTAAATACAGAAAACACTTTGAACCACTCCTAGCATAGGGCTGTGTGAGTGCAATGTTGAATAGACTCTGTAGGGCATGAATAGGGATGTGAATTTTGCAATTTCAGGGGTCAGATGATCCTTGAGGCTTATCACCAGTCACATCACATCAGACATCATGTGTATGTTCAATCAGACTTTTAAAACAGCTCCTTTGTTGGTCATTGCCTTCGCTCCTTTGCTCCCTTCCTTCACCAAGTTCCACTCTCCCCCCACTAACTCCCTTTGGGCATGGTGCATGTGGCGCTCTCTCTCCTCCTCCCTCACATGCACCGATGTCTACTTTACTGGCTTGATTGTCATTGTGAGGCACATAAAGTGTGTGAGGGAGGTTCTCATTCTTTGCAAGTCTTCTTGCCTTAATCATGTACACTCTTTAGGTAATGGTTCTTTATGTCCTCCCATGTTTCTCTTGCTGTGCCTATATGCCCTCGTATGTTGTCTTCCTGCCTTCCATTGATGGTGCAACTCAACTCAGTCCAGGTCTGTCTACAATGGCCTGTTTTTTTGCACACTTATGCCAGGCAGCTCATGATGTCGGGTGCCCACTGTTTAACTAGAATATCCTAGTGTGGCTGCCTGTAGTATCGCTGGAAGAAGGAGCTATTGCAAGCATCACATCATATCTCCAGCAAGGTCACATGGATTTTGTGATCTGATTTTCATAAGAAGATCCACTCATTACATTTGCACATTAGACTGTTGAAGTGCTGCTCATATGATTTATTTATGATTTGCACATATGACCCCATGACATGAATTTCTTATCAGATTTGTCTGGCTGCGTAGGGATACATGAAAGATTGGCTTTTGTAAATGATTCTAGGGCACACAAAAGATATTCTTTATTGACAATTTTGAAGCTTGTAATATATATTTGCTATTTCATTCCCAGCGTAAACCACACAAATGATATACTTATAGCCACAGTAGAAACATATAAGAAAAGTTTCTGTATTGTATACCATTTTGGAGATGAAATTAGAAAATGTTTTGTAGCCCATCCAAACAGTTTGCAAGGGCAAAAGGTTGTATGAAAGGGAATTTCTTGGGCTCCGATTGGTTGGGAATTCCATATCCTGCAGCCACCTAGTCTCAAAGGGATTATTCTATTTGGCACCCAGTACAGGAGATTTGTACTTTTCTAATTTGGCAATTGGGGTTTCTGAGACTTTCGAGTGTGACATTTTTTATTCAGGACTATCAAGAATCCCATCAGCTGGGAGATGTGTTCTCCAAACCAATTGTGAACAGTCCAGCAAACGTGGTAGTGGGGTCACCCAGTAACTGCAGCTGCAGCTAGTATACCTCCAGAAGTTACTGACAGATTTCTACACATTGGAGGAATATTACCAGGCAGTGGACTTCATACTTTTGGGGACAGCAAGCTTATGGATCCCATGCCATACTACCCTACAGTCTCTTCCCAGCTGGGGACTTTACAGTTGACCACAATGGCTACTCAGCCACCATCAAGATGAGATGATGATGCTTACTGAGTCTATCAAGTCTCTGACTCAGGTGCTAGAATTTGACAAAAGTTCTAGCGGGGAACAGCACCTGGGCCTAGGATGGGTGATCTTTGTATTGTGGCCACCTGGCTGCATGATTGCTTCTTGCCCCCAGGTGATGGAAGATATGCAGGTGAGATTAGGGTGTTCAGGGCCATGTGGTCCTGCCCAGTGTAGCAGATGTACGAAGGTTGATTCCAGGAGAGTCCGGGTCCAGGTCAATCTGGCTAATAAGAGCATCCAAGACCTTGATATCCTCTTCAGTGGGACTTATGTCAAGGTCCTTCTTGGGTTTGAAGGCTTTCTTGATTCACTTTTTATTGTAGTGACTTGTGTCCATCAAGGGCAGCAGAAGGACCTTTTGATCATCTAAATTTTGCTGCCACTAGGTGCAATGTCGAGGACATGAGCAATAGTCAGAGGAGGAAGGGAGATGGTCAAGGCAATAAGGACATCATGTGCATGGTGGTGATTGTGATTATGCCTTGATGCTTCTTGCCTGACTACTTACCGTGATAAGTGCACTTCTTACCATCTTGCATATTGCTGCTGCTGCCCTGAGGGTGCTGCTGCTGCTGCAAAGAGAAGAAAGGATCACCCAGCTTATGCTTCACTGCTGAGATCTTCTGGATGCCAAGTGGTGTCATCTTCTCATTCTGAGATTGCTCCCAGGCAGTGATGAAAGCCTCCCTGACTGTCTTGATGTCCAATATGTCAGAAAAATCGAAAATGCCATATCATAAATGATCTGGTCTAGCCAGGCGTGATCAGACTGTCAGGTTTGGGACCCCCTGATTAGATTCAAAAACTCATTATATGTTGTGATCAGCCTTACAAGCCCTGATCAGCTTGACAAGGCCTGATCAGGCTTGTGGTGAAATATAATAAGAAAAGACTAGTGCTACCACCTCAGTCCCAATTACTACCTCACTAGCACTTTGACGTCGATTACGGAGCCTATGTATACCCTACTCAACTACAACCACTCTATTTACCACAGGCAATGTTATTCTGACCGGGATTCGAACGCTATGCTACCGTGTTACTTCACTGTGACAAACATTCACTGCAAGTACACCACTACACCAACGCGCATTCCTGAACAAGCCACATAATCACCCTATATATGTCATCTCGCTCCCATACGGAGGCTTATGGGTGATGCCGGTCAGACTGCTATACTGAATACAATTCATATTTCAGCAAGTTGCAGATCGATGGGCCTCCCCACAAAAAAAGTAGAATAGGATTATTGGTGTACCGCCTGATCGTAATCCACGTTTGGTTGATTTGTTGCCCGAGTTGGCAATGCATTACTTGGAAGATTGGGAACATTGAGTGATCTCACTCGATTAAGTAGGTCTCATTCTGTCCCGAGTTGGCCCACCATCAGCTCGGCTCAGGAATAATCCTATTCTACTTTTTTTGTGGGGAGGCCCATCAATTTGCAACTTGCTGTGATAGAAAATGACAACAAAGTAAATAGTAGCTGGACCTGTGAAAGGCGAAGGCGGTCCCAGCTGTTCATGCCAGATCGAGCGTGACAAGGCCTGACGAGAGCATGATCAGGGCAAATGCAAAGCCTTATAAGGCATGATCATGCCTTATAAGGCTGTCAGGCTTCGTCAGGCCTGATCAGAGTTTTCATGCTTTTCCAACATAGTCGAAGTCGATTTCTCACCAGAACTTGGACTAAAGAATTGTACCAGTGATATGCACTAACACATTGCAGACCCAAAAACTAATGGAAAACAAGCAAACACACCCAGTGGTATAAGTGGAGGCAGTCAGAGTAGACTGAAGGATAATAAGATAGTTCAAGGGGTAAGTTTGGTTCATGACCCTCTGAACCAAGGTCGACATCTGAACTGACCCAACCCTCAGGTTCACTGGAGGGCCAGGTCAAGGTTCAAGCAATGTCTACTTAGTCCAACCTGAGGTCGAACTGGGGTCAACCATGACCCTCCTCCCCAATATATGCAGCTCAAAACTAGGTAATATCTGCAATGAATTGGGTAATGGAAGGGAAGATGTGCTGGTATTGCAGTCTTGGAATGGTCTTCCAAAAGTTAGCTTCACTGCACTGATAAGCCTCAAGGATCGTCTGACCCCAGAAATCACGAATTCAATGTCCCTACCCACCTCTTCCGGAGTCCATTTGACATTGCACTCACATGCCCCTACGCTAGGATTTTTCCAAAAGATTTATCACTTTAACTCTGGACTTTCTAGCATCTTCGAGGCCATCAGCAAAACAGGAATATTGAGGTACTCCCATGTAGTCCCTATATGGAGCTGCCGGCTATCCGGTCATTTGCAATGACTTATATGGCGGTGGAATCAGTGCATCAGAGAGCCAGTTGCAGCCCAAATATAATCACGCAGGCGTGAGACTGAAATCTTGGTAGCACATTATAAGGCCATTACAAGGGCCTCATCATTCTGTTTAAGATACACCATCTTGTTCGTCGTTATATAACCCATTGGAGACACTCTAGCATCATTGGCCATTCATATACCAGCTAGGTGCATCCCCCGTAATAGGCACCAGATAGTCGTTGTGACTAATGTCAAGAACACGAGAAAGAATGGTTGACCACCACATGCACAGACTTCCAAGCACAGTGACTTGTGAGTCACATTCACCGCTATAGGTACTATATGACTGGTAACAAGATAGCTACAGTGGGGCATATCCTGCTTGGGTCTCTTCATCCGGAACTTCATCTGAGTCATCCTGATCCACCGGCAGCCTGTCTTCCTCCATCTCTTCGACTTCACTGCCCTCTTCATCCCCACCGCCATCCTCAAGCTCATCCTCACTAGCATCCTCATCGCCATCCTCACCTTCAACTTCCTCCTGATTCTTGTTATAGCCATAGTTACTTTTCCCCGAGTCACTACCATGCTCAAGATTGACTTTGTTCGCTGTTTCCACATCCAGCCGCTCATCTGGAACTGTAGCACCATGACCATCCTCACCATCATCAGGAAAGTTGACTTGGTGGTGTCCAACACCCCGCCAGCAAACCTCATGAACATGTCGCGATCGACAAACCTACGGCATACGGCCTGGTTAGTCAGAGTCAACAGAATAGTAACGGTATGATACACACATGTTCACGTAGTAATATTGCCATTCGTCCTCCTCCCGATCAGGATGGGCAATTGTTGACCTTTCTGTAATTGGAATGCGACCATGGGCGAAAGCAGGGATTATGTGTGCCGCCCGAATGACCTCATCTGGATCAAGGAAGCCAAATGCATTTGGATCCGTCACAGGCAGGAATTGAAGCTGGTGTAGTCTGCGCTTCTTCAAACCACCTTGTAACTGAGGATCCATTCGGAACCATCACACGAAGAGAAATTCGAAGGTCTTGATATTCGGCATGGTACCAGGAACATTATTTATGATATCAGCATGGAATACGCCAAGGATGTGGCCATAAGCAAAGGGATGATGACCGTCCTTGTGCGCATCTGATGCCAACATGAGTATATCACTATGGGTCCGGGGATTCAAGGAATCTTGGCCACGACGGATGTTGTACGTCGTGTAGTTCACTCGGAGCACCTTATGTAGGTATAGGCGATTGTTTTGTATGAGGAGTTGCGCCCTCTCTGCATCCATGAACCGAGCTCCTTCCGAAGCTGTATTGGGATCCGCAAGATGCTCGAGTATGTGGTCTTGGAGCTTTGGTAGGTAGTCCTGCGCTGAATTAGCAATCTTCAACATCATACTAGATATCAGTTACAGACCTTCGTGGTGGGATCAGAGTGATTTTGTCTCAACCAGTGCGGTAAATACAGAGGGAAGTTCCGAGAGTGCGACATTTGATGATGCGCCTCGGGCGACGTGAATGGCAAGTGCTCCACCCCGCTGCAGACAAAACCATTGCAGTAGGTACCTGGTGTTTGCAGACATGCCCCTCCCGCCACTGTAAACGTGCCATCTGCCCAACTGGTCGGTTCTTGTTTGTTCAGGTGTAGAAGCGCTTGACTCGCCTATGCTCAAGCTCTCCCTGACAGAATTATAAGCACTGGGTTCATCAGATTACAGCAATAATACACTCACAGTTTGGGTTGAATAGGAATCTGTTGTACCAAACATTTATATCTGAGTTGGGTAATCCCCAAGCGCATGCAGCTTGTATGTGGAGAGATTGAGTGTCTTGCATTTGGGACCAGGTCTCTGTGATGTTTGGCTGGACACGTTAGAGCGTCTTGCCCGGTGTTGGCGGCGACCGCGGGCAGCTTCTTCTTGAGGTAGCTTTTTTGTATCGAAACAGCTACAAGTGTACTTAACAAAGTACTGAAGCTGGGTACTGAGGAATGATGTGGAGGCTCGGAGAAACTGAAGTGTTGTATTGGTATGCATCCAGAGCTTGGTGCCAGCATGCCACTCAGCCAGGACAAACAAAAGTGTCATGACTGTTTGGTTATGCGGCTCTGGTAGCAGACCTTTGAAGACTGGAATAGCGCACTCAAAAACAGAACAGCATGAGAATTAGTCAATCATCATGCATGAGTCTCCTTACCTGAAGATAATCTTCAAAGTCCCGAGCTGCAAGCTTCTTCAGGGCCAAATCATTGTTTGAGAAATGCCGGATTGTAGACCACCCAAACGTTGGAATCTGTCGATATCTGTGAATGTATGAGTGCATTCCAGCTGCAGAGGATGAGAGCGGGAAATATACCGGTAATTGAATTGCTGTATAGTATCTCCCCTGCATGCATAAAGGACACGTATCAAGTGAGTAAAGACCGCTTTCCAGACACCGTGCTCAAACTCGTGCAGCAAATCAACTACGAACATGTCAAAAAAGTTGAAGCTGCAAGGCCCTAACTTCTTTGAAAACGCGTTCTGTTTGGAATTTATAAGGAATGATTAAGGCCATATAGACGGCAATACACTCACCATAGTCGGGACTAGCGACTCCTTTGCAAGGAGCCCTTTGACGGCAGTACTTTTCACCCCTCGCCCGTCCTTGTAGATGAAGTTGCGAGCTCTTTCTGTAGTCCGTTGTGCTGGGAAATCATCCATATGGGCATCTCTTTGATGCCGTGTTTCATCGCACTGCATGCCAATGTCCGATATCTTATCTTTTGGGACCTTACAACGTGGGCATGGACATGAGCCGAAATTGCGGAATGTAGCTAGCAGAACCCTGGCAATCGGAGTCAGCCTAATCATCGAATCAGTGATTCAGTAGGCCATCAATACTCACTTCTCGGAGTAGTCTGCAGAATAGGTAAAAATCTGAGGATAGACACGTCTTTTTATGCCATCAGCGCATGTCAGGATGATGCTGTGCTTGTATGCAGAAATGAAATCATCATCCAGCAATATTTCCCAGACTGCATGCATAAGTTCCTGCCGACAGTGGGTCAACACGTCGGCCAGCGGTCCTTCGCCTGTCAATGATAGATAGAACTCGTGGAAATTATCTGGCAACTTGTGAGAAAAGCACGTCAGTTAAGGGACTGCCATGCCATGGCTATGCGCAAACCTTCGGGATATATGCTACGTGGTGACAAGCTCCGGAGTTGGGCTTGCACCTTGAATATTTGCTTTCATTCCCAAAGAACATATAAATTGGCCATGCAGACGCGTCCCCAAAGTTTGTGAGGTGCGTCGAGTCTGACCAAAGCATAAGAGCAGAAATCACTCGCTCCATGCGCATCATTGAATGCATCGCTAGTATATAGTTCATCGTGCATCCTTTCGACTTGTAAAGGTTCACACTGCCAGAATTGCTTGAAGGGAACAAAGTGGAAATGGGAAGAGGTCGCATCTGACCATGCAGCTCTGATAACCTCTGTAAGAGAGCGATGGTAGAGTCTGGGGACTTCAAATGATGCGATTGGGGGGTCCTGATCGGATCTATCCCGTTGGCCGTTGATAAGCCTCAGGATTGTCTGACCCCCGAAAATGCGGACTCAGCGCATCGTACAAGCCCCCCGGAGCTTATTCGACACAGCGCTCACACGCCTCTAGGCTTCTATGGGCTCTAAAGACTTGCTCTGTTTTAGCTCCGGACTTCCTAGCATCCTCGAGGCGTACACGGACCCATTCAGCGATTTATCTCCGCGCGCCGAAGCTCCGGAGTGACTTAACCAATGCGACTTCTAACTGCATTAGCTCCGGGACCCGCGGACACTTCTATCAAGGGGCGTCGTCCTCATGCCCACCCTCCAGCACTCACTCCCCCTCGTTTCCGTCAAGATACCGAAGGTGCGGACGCATACGAGTCACCATAAGGTCAGCATCAGTCAGCAAACGGCCGGAGGTAATTAGCACGTGACCGGCGCATCGCGCGGAGTGATGGGACCGCTTAGGGCAGGTGGCGGAACGTTGAGGCGACCTCTAGGGGCTGGGACGAGCAAGTGGGAGCGCAAGAGAGTCGTATGGTGCATGGTATAGCGGTGGCAAGTGCTGAGCAATCCTGTGGGTAGCGGCGTTTATTTGTTATTTATCTCCGGACGGTCGCAAAGCCATTCCTGTAGTATAAATTGTACAAAGTAGCGTACAGAAAAACAAGTTTCGACTTCACCATCTCAGAGAATTAGTGTTACGATCTCAGCGACCCGAGAAGTTCGAAAGCGTCGAACTTAGCAAATTATAACCGATCTTAGCTTTGCCAATAGGCCTGACTCGTCAAGTGAATTAGCTCCGCCATCGATTCAATTAGCTCCGGTGCGTCTCACATAGCGAAATAAAAATTAAACAAGTCCCTTTAGCGTTTTCTACTCCCGTGGGCCCGAACCTACACTCGGTTCCGTGGTTTGCGACTTTGTTTGCGACTTTTCGGAGATAAATACTCCGGAGCGTCCATTAGTGTTTGTTTCAGGCATCAAGGTTTTGTTTTTATTTTTCTAGGTCTTCCTACGGACTACCCTACGGCGTCTTACTCCTCCTTTCCCCCTCGAACTATTAAATACCCTTCAGTTGTCTCGGACCACCTTCACCCATATCACGGGGTTTAGGTTTATTCCTTTTGGTCCTTGGTGATTGTTGTGTGTCAGTGCATATCACCGTCCGGGACTGGGATCTCGACCACACTCTTGTGCCAGCCATCTTTGACATGTGCAGGGTCCGACAATGCAGCATCGAGTTTCGCTGTCTCGCGCTTTGCATCAAATCCCGAGAAGTCACTCTTGGAGAAGTCTGGAGCTTGGATGACATTGGCGACAAGTTTATCAAGCTCCTCGACTGACTTCACGTGTGATCCACTCCACATCCAGTCCATCGTGCGGGAGATAGACATATTGGAGAATGGATACGGCGGACTTCATGCAGTGCTATCCGCCAGAGATGATGGTGTACTGTCTTCCAATGGAGTTTCAGACAGGTCACGAGCCATGGAATAGGAAAGATCATTGAGTGAGATGGTGTCATCAGGATTGTGGGATGGAAGGGTATGATATTCACGAAATATGCGGAAGATGTTGGTGCCAGTACGAAGTACCCTCATCAACCAACTGCCACCAGGCTGGATGCCAATGGCCGTATCATTCAATTCCATTGACATGTCATCGCCACATGGCTCACTTGAGGGCTCGGGAGGAGGTAATGGAGCAGGAGCCTGTGGTAAGCGATCAAGAATCTTCCATGTGGGCTGTTTCTTCCTCTGACCGTGACCGAGAACCTGAGGTTCAGCATCGTCTGGGCTAATCGGGTCCGACATATCCTAGTTCAGGATCAGCAAATCATGTATGGTACTGCAGCGATATCACAATGGACCTCGGGAATGCTCCCGTCAGCACAAGGCTCAAAATCGGGTTGGTTGGACTCTCCACCACTGATAACATCCTCTCCAAGTTGTATAGAAGTATTCTCCTCAATACGCAGCTTCTTCTGGGCCTTCTTGGACGCGAGTCAATCCTCGAGGCCAGAAAGCAAAGTGTCGGTACATCGGACTCGCTTGCAGCGTCCCTCATGTATTGTCAGACCCACCTGAGTATCATATCCTTGGCCGCAGCCATGGCAAATGAATAGCATCAAGATAGTCAGCAGTGCTATTGCCTGGATGATAGTATGTTGCATCGGGGTTGTACAAGGGTAATGGTGGTCTTAGAGAACAGGACAAACACTACGTTGGTAGATCTCAATTACTCTGCATATGGTACGCGTCAGCAAAACATATCACGCAGCTCCAAGGATGACTGACCTCCAGTGTCAGCTTGGGGTGATGGGCCATCGTTAATTTGGAGGGCAACGGTATTGCAAAATGGCCGACGCGCGTAGCTTTTGCTAGACTGAATTGGTCGCTACTTAGCGATGGGCAGGGTGCTCGTTGGCTATGGGCATGGATATAAGACACGAGTGGACTCGCATTAAATAACTTGCCTACAACACCCCATACGAACATCCCCATGTCACCTACCAGCCCGGCGAGCAGTCAAGCAGTTACCGATCTCAGTCCTGCCGCTCAAGATGCCGTTACATCCCTTGTTTCACAGCTGTTAGGTTGGAACGAGAAGCACTGAAGGTTTGTCGGGTCTGTATTGACTGGAATGGTTACTGATTCATTCTACTAGGCCAGCGGACAGTGACACCGAATCTGATGCGGATGAAGACGGTGAGGGTAAAGATAAGCATAAAGATATGTTGGACTATGGGTGTATCTTTGCACGTACCGGGGAACCATTCATGAAGGTTTCGACCATCGTTCAACATGGCCTACTTGCAGCAGGCCGGGACAGCACTGATGAGCACGAGGAGACTGAGCAGTGAGTCTTTGCATGTGAATGATCAGTGCATGGGTTGCTGACTTGTCCGTCTCGTGGTAAAGGGAAAGGCGACTCTGTAGCAGTTGGCTTATATTAGTAAACACTATCCCTAACTTCAAAATGCAGATGATTTCATTGGCCAAAGAGAGGGTACTGCGTCGTGGGGTATGTGCTGAGGTCAGAGTCCATCAGTACCAGCATACAGGATCAATGATAGCCGTGATACAGGTCAGCAGAGGAGTCGATGGTGCTCGTTCGGATGACACGAGTAGCTTTAAGACCGGCATTGTCGATTACCTTCTTCTAGATACCTCGCAGTCTCTGATCCCTCCAATCCCGGCGAAGTACTCAGAGAAGATCATTCGTGGCTGGAATTATCCGGTGACCGCTGCTCTGTTGACGCCGCTGGAGTATCCCACCAATGACACGTGCACCATTTATACTACCACTCCCGTGTCAAACTGTAACTTACTGCGGATCTAGGACCTATGCCAATGTAAAGGCCCAGCACAAAACTGTCAATGCGGGGCAGTTCCCTCGCTTTCTATATCCAGACGGTCGAGAGTACGACAAAAATAACTTGGAGGATGGTCTATTCGGAGGGCACGTCATGATACGGGTATGTGCTACTCATCACCTTAACATTGCTACTGGGTACTGATACCTCTCCTCGCATCATACAGTGCGCGAAGCACTTACTTGTTGGCCCTGCATCAGCGCTTCGACCCACTGGGTATAAGAAGGGTCGTGCCGGGAACGCAAAGGTTATGGGAGTCAATAGCATCACGCCTCGAATCATTGCATATATTGCTGTACAGGTACGAGTGCTATCACTTCTTTCTACCATCTAATGCTAAGCAGGACGGTACCTAGGTTGGGTTTGCATTGTCAGATGTCCAAGAATGGAACCAGCTTGACCACGACTTCAATTACCAATCATTTTTCTGGAATATATTGACATTATTCGAAGATGGTGATGGGGAGGAGGACATAATAAAGCAATTTGATCAGTAAGTTGCCTTCCAGCTTATCATATGGCTGGATGCTCAAGTGTATTTATACAGTGAACTGTTCGGGACACCTCTTGACGGCTGATCTGCATTGTCGAACATACCCGTCAACCAGTTGAAGACTGCTATACAGCGCCTCAAAACCCAACGTGCTGCGAAGCGCGCCCGCATTGGCTCAGGTGAAGAGAATGCAGTAGCACAATAGAACAAACCATGTACTACTACAAGTCTACGACGCTATATATTATGCTTTGCACATTTGACATGTTTTCATTGTGGAGTTTGTCTGTTTCTCAGATATGTTATGAGTTCCTGTTCAGTTTCTGAAAGCCATGTGAATCATGATATCATGTCCACTGGTTGCAAAATCAGAAGCAACATGATGTTTTTTGAAGATCCAGGTAGGTGTTGCGAATGCTAATGGTCTCCCAATAAGGCAATATGTTGATTGACCATGTCTACCATTCTTACTGCAGCTGAAAACTCTCATAGGAATTGCGGAGACTAATGGTCTCCCAGTAAGTCACTGGGGCCATTCTCAAGTAATATGGGCTGCAAGGGCAGTCAGGCTTGCGAGTTTTGTCACGGATTGTGGAAGATTAGTGTAATTGCAAAGCCACATGGTCTCCCAATAAGACCTGGCAAACTAATCGCAAGATTTCAATTGTGGCATATGATATAACACATTATATGGTCTTATATCTATTTTCCGTTTTTGCTGATGGCCAGCACGAATCCCTCCGTTTAAATAAAACAAAGCCTTGACACCTGAAACAAACACGAATCGAAGCTCTCGAGTATTTATCTCCGAAGAATCAAAAATAAACAAAGGTCGCAAGCGCTGACACCTAGTGTAGGATCATGCTCACAGGGATAGAAATTGCTAGGGAGACTTGGTTAATTTTATTTCACTATGTAATACTCGTGGGAGCTAATATTTTGACGGCAGAGATAAATCAATCGATGAGTCAGGCCTATTGGCAAAGCTAGGATTGGTTGTAAATCACTAAGTTCAATGCTTTTCACCTTCGAGGGCCACTGAGATGGTAACTCTGATACACTGAGATGGTGAAGATCAAACTTGTTTTTACTTTACTTTACATCGTACATTTTATACTACAGGAATGACTTTGCAACCATCCAAAGATAAATAACAAGTACCACCACTACCAACTGCTGCCAACTGCTGCCAACACAGTTGCTCAGCACTCATCCACTGCTATACCATGTACAGTACGACTCCTTTGTCCCTCCATATGCTCGTCCTAGCCCCTAGAGGTTGTCCTGATGCATCAGTACCTGTCCTGAGTCTTCGCATCATGCTGGTCACATGCAAATCAACTCCAGCTGCTTGCTGACTGCCCTCCAAATCACCCGCCCTCAAGCCCTCCACTCCGGTCTCCTCCCGGACCGATTCCGAACCTCCAGCCGCCAACTCTTCCTCAACAGCCGAATCACCCATCCAAACGTCCTCCATACCCCAGGCGGAAGCCACAGAAGGTTCCTCATCTGCGGGCGTCTCCTGAGTGTGCGACGCTCGAGCTCGCTTACACTGTACCTGTCCGCGGGGTGCCAGCAGTACTTGTAAACCTGCCTCTCAAAGCTTGTGGTTTTCCTCGCACTCAGAGTGCTTTTGATTGATGATGCGACGAGTCTTATTTTGCTGGTCAATCATGTTGAGTCCATGCTCGAAGTTGCCGTTGCACTGAGCAGGAGTGAGGATAAGGGTGGGGTCGATGGTGCCACGGGGTTTGTCCCCGATAAGATAAGATAGAGGTAGATCGGGTCCAAGAACCTTGATATCACCCGTCTCAGGGTCGAACACAGGCATGCGGGACTTGCCGAGATTTTGATTATAATACAAGGCAAAGGTGCTGTAGCCGCTGGGATTGGTGACGATGTCAGGGAGATCGAAAGAGTGGAGCAGGGTCTGGAAGGACCAGAAAGCAGCAACCTGAGAGTGGGTGAACGAGACCAGAATAGTGTCGGTTGCCCAGAAAGTGACTAGGCCCACATTGAAGTCCTGAATCATCCTCGGGAAGTCGTGGAGGGCAGGGGGAGTAGCCATGGTGGTTGAGCGAGAACAAGAGTGATTGAGTGGTGGTTTGGTGGATGGGGTTGACGAAGGGAGGAAACTCATAGAATTTATACTCAGGCCCTGTAGATCCAATTTTCCATGGTATATCTGAGGGTCGTCAGCCGGGGCTTTACCTGTACCCTCCGGGAGGTTTCAAATGTCATTCACCCCTACTGCATCTAGGTACGACTTAAATGGCATTAAATGCGCCACTTCCAAATATGGAAGCCACGTGTTGTCTCCCGATTTCCACTCGATCTCAAACACAGATGATCGCACCTTTCCCTTGTGGCAAAGAATATGGTTCACTTCCCACTCCAAGTCTCTGGCAGCCTCTTCATCAGTGATGATGAACTGGGCATCAGACTGACCAGGAAAAAGCCGGTCATTGTTAGGCTTGTGAATACAAAGCAGGGATGCATGGAATACATCGTGAATCCCACGGCTCTTCAAGTTGGGAGGCAATTCTACCCAGTAGGAGTTATTGCCAAAGTCCCTAGAAATTTTGTATGGCCCCATCCACTTGGGGAGCAATTTTCTGGATAATCCTTGCGGAAACCTCAAATTCTGAGTAGAGAGGTACACAAGATTGTTAAGTTTGAATGGCGAAGGCCGCCGACGCCTGTTAGCATCTCGCACTTGCTTTGTACGGGCTGAGATTATACTGTCATGGGCAGCCATGATAGCGTTCACCTTTTGGACGAAGACCCATACTCCTGGGTATTCATCCAGCCAATGCTGTAGTATTATTACATTATTCACCCAATACTACCGTGTACTAGGCCGCACGTGTTTATGCATTATTCTCCGAATACCTTATACAGCTACCAGAAGCCCAGCTGGGCTTGAATACGACAGCCCCGGCATCTCCGGCATGGAGATCCTGTTGGCAGTGGAAGATACTAGCTTCAGACAACACCCAAGGGCTAGGTCAAACTGTGTCAAGACTGTATTCTGGCATAAGGAATACAAGTGGCAGACTCACCTAGGTCAAACTGTGTCAAGACTGGGGGACACAGAGCGACCTAGGGAGCCCTTATATACTGTAGAATACAAGGGCATCAAAGAACAAGGACAGAACAAGGGAACATCGAAATACAAAGAAGAACAAGGATAACAAGGAATACAAGGAATACAAAGGGAGTGGCTCACAACAAAGGGAGTGGCTCACAACAAGGTAACTCGGCCTAGAAGCGCCTAGGCCATTCCATGAGCCACTCAGTCAACAAAGAGTGACCAAGTCATCAGATCTCAACACTCCCCCCTGACTGGTCACTTCCCCAATCCAAGCATCTTCACCATTTCTAAGACCTTCGGCCTAGGCAGGGATTTAGTCAGGATATCCGCAGGCATGTCTGAAGTCCTGAGGTGGACCATCTTGAGCTTGC